AAGCGCTGATGGTCACCCGCGGCCATGCCTGCCACTACTGAGACTACCGGACAGCAAGTGATGACCTTATCTACCGCCACCTCTCCAAGTCACGGAGCCTCTGGATGTGGAGACATCGTCAAGTCCGAGTTATCAACCCGCAATATAGAATAGATATTATCAAGAAGGGTTCAATAATCGATGCCACCCCCATCTCGAATGCTCTCTCCCTTGTCGCCGGTCGTTTCAATATCAGAACCGCCCTACTTCCGTTTAGGCGGGATCGCCGTGACGTCTAGGGCGAAGAACGCATAGTTTTGGGCGTTCCTGATCTTGTCCTTATCTGTAAGCTTCTCGCAGCTGACGTTTCGTGTTTAGCATTTGCAAATCTCTCGTGGTTTCGAATCAGGTATCATCGGATATAGGAGGGAAAGACTTACTCCTCCACTGGATATGCCAGGTCAATACAGCGCTTGCCCTTGCCGACAATAGCGTCGAGATGCTGCGTCTCGTGCAGCAATATCATCCCCGAAGATGGCGTGTATTTTCCCTTCCGCCAGTTCGAAAGCATTTGCGAATTGCTGGCTTTCTTGAAAAAGGAAGGGCAGGCGAGGAGGATGTTGGTTTTGAATACTTGGTCGCCGGCATTGATGGCAGCAGCCGCCACCCCGCCGTTGCACAAGGGAAAGTCCTTAGGGGGGCATGCATAGACCAGTCGTTGTGGGCTCGGACCGCCTTCATCGTATGACTTGACGGTGCTTGACGGCATCTGCAGGAATCTGTTTGGTGCCCCGAAGTGGCTGGTCTTGATCGTAGAAAGCTGGGCTTTATTAGCATTGGTTCCTATCAGTATCACAGTCAGCACTCGACTCCATAAATAGACGCCAGACGCAAGAGGCATAGGAGCCCGACTTCACCGTCAGTAGCAAGACGTGTGAATAATGAAATGAAGTTGTTGACGTACTGCCAAACCATCTCGTATAGGCCTTCGATGTTGTCCCAGCATTGTCCAAGGCCACTATGGCTCCGTTGGCTAAGATCTTCGCGTGCTCAACTGACTTCTCAATATCTTTGAGTTGCGATGATGAGCATGGCCAGTCGCTTCCTTTAGTCATAGAGACCCAGGACGTCAGCGCTCGCTTGTCATAAGAGGCGAGAAGGCCGCGTTCGGAAGGAGTTAACACGCCAAAGACATGGGAGAAGTTCAACGCAACGAACAAGATGGAGATGACTTTCCGCATGTTGAAGATGAAAGTGCTGGGACTTCTCGCTTGGGTGAGTGGGTGTTGGGCGCTGATACTCGGGTGGAGGAATGATAAAGCAAGCAATACAGTTCGTCCTACTGACCTGGAAACGAATATGCCTGACTGTGGGCTTTATAGATTGCATTTAGGTTGCTCAGCGTGATGAGCAATGGCTGTGGGCAAGAGATTCTCGCTTGTATGCGGTGAAGCCGACATATCGTTATGTGCTTCTTTGGGTTATACAGGGTTAGTATCAGTGACCCCAACCACGCGCCTTTGGAGCTTCCACTCCTGTGGATAGTAGGTAAGAACACATTCAGCTTAGTGTGATGGTCTAGCTTGAAAGACTGCAGTATGTGTCCCACTCGCGCAAGTCCATCATTCCTATGACCTAACAGCGCAATCAACTCAAGGCGGGTCTGCTGGGGGTAATTCATCTTTTTAAAAGGGTTCCGCCACAAAGAAGCAGGGAGTAGTAGCGCATACTTTATGCGGTATCTTCAAAGACCAGACACCAGCTGAATGGGGCAAGCAGGCAATACTAAGCAGTTACCCAACTTCGCATATAGCTATATACGAAGTTGTTATTCTGGTCCCCTACTTACCAGGCGCGCGGACAGCAACATGCCTATATAAAAAGGCAAGACCAAGCCCTTGGGCATTGGGAAACTGGTTATCGACCTTGGGGGAAATCATCATCATCCTCATTCTCGGAGATGGCCCCATTCACGCCCCGCTTTGCAGGGCTCAGCCCAACGTACTCACATCTCTCATCACGCATCGACGGGGCCCACAAATCTTTTCATTCCCTGTTTTCGGGAAAGCTATTTGCGTCGCGAGCTTGGCTTCAGCGAGCGCCGGCGCACGTGCACGCTGATTACAGGCCCCACTACGCCCTTTGTCCTCCCCAAGGAGCGGGCTATTATTCCTTACGAGTCGTTGAGGCTACCTATAGTGGCCCGTCAACCATCCCCCAAATCTTGCCCTGCGCACCTAAATCTGAGATCTCCACTGGACGATATGATCTTATGCACCAGCCTAAAAGGAGTATGTTAAGTATTATCAAACACAGGTTCCGCTAGTATTCTGATTGTATTTCACTGCTAACTTAATAATTACACAGAAACAACCATTAGAACATCTTATTCTTAAAGATCTAAGATGCAGTGCATTATAGCAGTGAGGGAAAGAAAATATAAATAGTACTGTTTTCTTAGTGGCGACTATACATCCAACCACTATTCACTGTTTTTAAGTCTGTTGAAAATAAGTATTAGAGGGTAAAATCTACAAGAACCACCCACAATAAAACTGTCAAATTGGTCATGATAACCTTGAGAGGTGTCAGTCGCTATGAATGTGTCCGCCACTAAGCGACCTGAGAGGAGTTGAGAAGAGTTTTTCTATGGTTATGCCAAACTCTATTGATAAAGGAAAAAGCCCTCACTCTGGACATAAATAGTAGAAGATCTTCTAATTATGGAAGAGTTGGAAGAAAAAAAAAAAAAACCAGAATACACCATCACTATTCCTTTACTACTGCCAATCTAACAAAAACTTCTACCGGTAATGTATCCTTAGTAATCGGCAGGCCTAGTGGGTCGCACCCTGCTCGTTTTTGCGAAGTTTTCGGACCCCCTTGCTATGCCCAACTCCAGCACAGAAAAAAAAGCCCTGATGACGATGCCTTCAGGCCGGTTAACCCCTGTTCTGCACTATGCATCTCCGGTAGTGGAAGTAGCTCCCCAGTAGCTTCGGCCGGCCCGACCGGCTCGACGGCCAGGGGAGGCAAGATGCTAGTACGAGTGTCCGGGACCAATAAAACCTGCACCGTTTGCTCAACAGCAAGCCATGCCGGATAGCTAAATGGCTCTACCTATAGAGGCCTCTCTAAGTGCTGCGGACAAGGAACAAAGGGATAGGGTTTAAGAAGCCAACCGAAGTGGACAGGATACGTAGATGATGAGGTGCATCTTCATTAGATGCTCTGTCTAACTTTTGTCTGTCTGCCCTGGCGTCTATTATATGCACTCCCAGCACCTAGAAACCATCAACCTAGACCAGTGACCATCCCGACAAGGCCAATCGCCTTCAACCGCAGAGCCCAACAGCTGCTTTCGCATCCTCTCTCCCACCGGCCAGTTTGTAACACCCCCTGCACTTTCTCTTTCTATGGCTTCGCTACCATCTCGCAGCCAATGAGCACCCGATTGCCTCGCTCTTCACAGTAGAGGTCGAACATTCGTTATCAACTGCTACCGATCCTCACTTACGGGGAACCCTAGCGGTTGCGCACAACCCTACCTTAACCTTGGATCTAGACCTTTACGGTAACAGGAAACGTTGTCTAGATGGCCGGATACAGAGAACTGGTTTATGAACGAGAGATCTCGTTAGCAACCGTCGTTCTCCTAGCAAGGGTAGATCTGCCCTTGGCCCGCTCCCGGCCTGCGGAAAGCGATCTGCAAGGCACCAGACCGCATCCTGAGAGACCTTCTGAAACTTTGCCTGCCTGCTATACCATCCGCGGCCTCAGCGACGCCGTTAAGTCATAGCCGGTTAACGTGGACGAGTAAATTAACTACGTGTCATTGGCCATGGATGTTGACCAGCATTCTCCATGCGGCCTGAGCGCCCAGGCCGTCAGGTCCGTATCGCTGTTAGTATCCACACCTACAGAGCAAGTGACTGCTCAAGCCGGAGGGCGGGGTTGGACCCGTCTTTTGTGCTACGCGCGATTGGGGTGGCCCTCTCGGCTCTGCCGCGCGGGATCTTTTCGCAGTCTCGGGAATAGCCACCGAGAGATTTTCAGCCTCTTCGACCGGACATGGCTACTTATTGCGCACGGCTTCCATCCTGCTTTGCACCGACGTATTCCAAACCGCCCGCTCCCCGGTAAGCGACACAGCGGGTTTCTTAACTGCTGTCTACCTACTACCAGTCGTCTTTCGAAATGTGGACTCTTGCATCTTGGGGCTGGGCGGTTAGGCTGTCCGTATACTTGTGCTCTTTGCTCTCCTCCAGAGTATCGCAGCTCAGGATCTCGGCCTGAACCTTGACACACATGCCCGAGACAAAGCACAACAAATCGTTTACTCCTCTAAGCTCACCTTCACCCAAGATACTGTAACGCTCTTTAGCAATGACCAACTCTATGAGCTTGCCTCACTGGCTTATAGCCAAATGCAGACCAAGTTTAATGCTGATCGCGTTGGGCCACAGGAGCAGCCCGCTATGATGGCCGTTATGGCCGTCGAGAAGGACGTCTTCATCTCGTCCAGTTGAAGGGAAGCGGCCCTTCTCTGTACAGCCTCGCACCCCAGCATTCCAAACCACGAGTCGTCGCTGCCCTTGACCGGTGCCAAGCCAGACTACAGAGCCAAAAGAAGTCCCAGTAAACAAGAAGCATCGAACCGAGGCCGGCTGTGCGGAGATTTTCGCTGTTCACCAGGTAAGTCCTGCCCCTTCTGCTGCCAGGTCCTTCCCATAGACCAAGGCGCTAATTACCAACTCCTCTATCTAACGCCTCCCAAGTACTATTTAGACAGCGATACCTCCCAGCGAGCCCACAATCACCCGCGCTCCATCCGCGTTGTTTGCCTACGGTAAAGGGGGCCAGACAGGCGTTATAGGCCGTGAGTTTGTGCCTATCCTGCTGTATGTATGTTATATGGGTGACGTCGTGCTAACGGGCTCATTAAACAGCTCAAAACCCTTGCGGTGGCGGTGAAAGTCGTCAACCAAGAGGGTCGCCTAACGTGGGGGTGCAGGCAGTTCATGGCGGACAAAGGGATCACCGTGCCACGGAAGCCCGGCAAGAAAGTCGATATAAGATTGCCACGGCCGTTCCCAACGTTCACGCATAAAACAAATCAGCGTCGTTCCCCACGCTCGCTCGCGGCCCACCCTCAATGCGGGTCCGCGCCGAGGGAGGCGAGTATCCCTACGGGTTCATTGATGCTCCGCAGAACAATCTACCAAGCCAGTAGTCAGCAAATTCTAGATCAGCAGTGGTCTCGCGAAGCGGAGGAGCATGCCGGCCGTAAAAAGACCGAGGGTGGTGGCATGCTGGGTCGCACTAGGTCATATCATCAGCAGCCGAAATAGGCGCCCCGTAACCTGGAGTCTCTTAAAGCTCCTCGATTGAAATCCTTGCCAGCTACGTTTCTTAGAAGGAGGGAGGGCTGCAAGTCGAGCCGCGGGACAGAGGTATCGGGGATAAGTAGTAGGTAGCACGGCACAGAGACACGCAGCGTACAGCCCACCGCATCCACCGAGTTGTAGAATCCGGGAACTATTGTGCCCTCATCTGTCCCCGAATGGATAGCCAGCTGTCCAGCGGATGTGAACCTTACTGACTGTTACTTCGCTATCTCAAATGGGCGTCGCCGTCGTTTCAGCCCTAGTATTTTCATTGTCATCAAGTACCCTCGGTTCGACTCATATCGTCAACGTTTATAGAGCAGAGCTCGTTATATATTAGCACCCGCGTTCTAGAACGGAGGCTCTTCTGCACGTCATTGCTGACTATTTCAATTCCGGCTTCACTGCGACAAATGATCCAGATACTATAGCGTTCTTCGGTCGAGCGTGGGTACCCTCGCGTCGTTCTCGTGCCCAGCAGCAGCGTTAGAGACATGATGATGATACCTTACTGATACTAACAACAGATTGAAGGATTCCTTGGTTTGAGGCTATATGATGATTGTAAACGTTAGTCACAAATTCTATCCATTTCGGTATCTTGGACCGCCCTTCGCCCTACAGACTATGTCAGTGAGCCAGTGCACAACGCAGGTGGCAGGAATCATCGCCAGGCCTGAAGACAACCTTTGGGTCTTGGGTGGTCCCGCTCCATGTTTCCTATTCCGGTAGTTGTAGTGTCGTTGGGACGACGAGATCCGGCCTTCCAGCGTTATGTATTCACCCTTTTACCTCAGACGGCAGGTGCAGATCAAAGCAGGGCGGACCGATCCTGCCTGCCTTCCACACAGGCTTTACACAACCGAACTAATCTGAAATACGTAGGACAATGGTAGGGGCCCAGCTGTTCCCAGCATTCTACGTCGCCTGTTAGCCGTTCCACTCTCCTGGAAACTGCTTGAGCTGCGAGGTCGTGGCTCTAAATAGGGAAGTGACCGCCCCTACCCTGAACAATGAACAGAACTCCCTCCCGCCCGATCTCGTCGGCTGAAGAGCATCCTCGACGATAGGCCCCCTTAGAGGCCGCCTTGTTTCATAAGTGAAACCGTTCTTTGTCAATGTATTATGATCTACAGCTATCGCCATGTACCCTCGTCGTTCCAGTCTTACGTCTGCCGGCCTATAGCAGCCCACATTTTGTGCGTCTAGAGCCTTCTAGGTAGAGGGTTCAGTGCCAACATCATACCATACAGTAGGGAGCTGCGTATGTCGTGGTGTTGAAATCAATTTTAACGTACGTACGAACAGTTATCCTCATGTACACACGTATCCAACAGTCGATCCATACTCAACCCATTTTTCGGCGACAGGTGCTCACCTGCAGCTGTCAACCTACCTCCTGAACTGCACCCTCGGACTTAAACCCTAAATAGAACCTCAAGCCGCCTTGGCCATGCTTCATTCTAGCCAAGACAAACTCCTATACACTTCACTATCTCGTCCCTCCATGGACCATAACACACGCCACACCTATCATCACCATCATTCCTTCTGTATCAGCATCCGGCGTAGACACCGTTCCCTCCCCACGGGCTTTTACTACAAAAGTAAGGCGAGTTACTACTAGAGTCCTAGCATAACGGTCACATACTGAGCATACAACTGTATCTGGCTTCTGCTACTGTAAGTTCTCTAGTTTGAGGGGGTGTTGTGTTTCACACCGACCTAGGTACACTGCAACTCCTACTACAGTGTCGATGCTCCCGCACCGCCCTGGGTCCGCCAAGCCTTTAACGCCACGTAGGATAGCGCCCAGGGCGGCATTCCCAAGGCCCTTTAGGCGGAATTCGATGCGTTGAGCGGCGAGTTTCTGTGCAGAGGAGAGTAATAGGTTGATTTGGTGAGGAAACTGACCCAGCCTGCCCAGGATGGAGCGCTAAGCGTGGGTCCGTTATCGGGCATTTCCCGCCCTCCAGCTTCACATACATACCTACTTAAGTATACATAGACAAACAAACACACAGCTAGTCACAAAACAAGCCATCTAAAGAGATGCCGTACTACCGCATACGATTAAATTAGTTCATCATCTATAGGCTCGCGTCCGTAGCAAAATCAGCACATACATCTATGTCGGTATGCCTTTCCCGCCTTAGTCCCTTAGACCATCTTAGGACAAATCTTATTAGTGTAATACTCAGTTACATCGATCCCAGTTCGGATCCTGTCTAAGTCTAGGACGAACTCTTAGACCTAGAGTTCACCTCAGGGGCATCTGCAACTTGCAAGCGGACAGCATAGCGCCCTAGTAGGCAGGCACGTCCGTCCCCTGCACTCTCCACCATGATGATAGCTAACTTTATGTGATACCCACAGCAAAAGGAGACTAAACAGTGTCCACCCAGTGGTGACCAGCGACATATTAAGACGGGCATGTAACTCCCAACTCATTATATTATGCCCACCTATTAGAAGGCAAAGTAACGCGAGTGAAGTGTAGCCCATGTGTAGTACTTGCCGCCGGCAGTCACGGACACAGTCGCTAGCCTGCCATGAAGTAGTTCCGCGCCGGTTAGTCTCCAAGCATCCCAAACCTTACTCCACACTTGGATCTATCCATCCGCACGTTGCGCCCCCATTCTAAGCTAGGTTTGCGGTGCGCCCTGAACCTTTTCAACGACCCACCCACTAGGAATGGAACGACAATGAGGGGGCAAGCGAGCGCTTAGTAGAAGGAAGAGGTGAGCAAGCTAGGTACACGAAGTTCTAAAGATAGGGTAAAGATAGGGATGCTAATTTCAGAAGCATGCCTTTACAAGAACACTTCTGATGTCCCTATCGAAACGCCTCTTAACCTGGACGACAACCATCTTTTAATACTTATCCTTCGCTAGTATAACTCTTTAACTGAGCTTGTTTCGGGGGGTGGGGGACTCACAACTGGCTCGGAGCATCTCGCTCGCGATCTTCAAAATATCCATCAGAGTGTCCATAGAAGCATCAAGCGTCAATGGCCGGAGAAACAGTAGGTGCGTTCAATGAAAGCACATCTGCTAGTGAACTTCCAACCTGGGACAACTTCTCCAACATGCTAACCCTGTTTGTAGCAAAGGTCCTCTGGGGTGAGAGTTGGAGGACAAGGACAATGTCTCGGGCTATGCTTAAGGGATAGCCTAGCGACATACTATCGCAATAATTCGTGCTCGTCAGCGTCGTCGCTGACAAGCACAGCTGCCACACAACAGTCTTAAGCCACCCGCATGTGACGAAAAGCTCGGCTTGCTGCGACTCGGGGTAGGCGACACATCGGCGAGGCAGTTTGACAGGGCTCCCTGCAGCTGGCACAGCTGCTCATGATCTGGGGGTTCTCGCCGGCTTAACCGTCTGACGTTCCGTATAAGAGTTCCACGCTGTAATGAATTCGGCATCGAAAAGCCGAAGAGGGAGATCAGATCAAGAAAGCCATGCAGGATTTTAGAGTCCGCAAGGAGTGGATCGAAGCGAGGTAGGTTAATTGTGGAATGCAAGGCCAGGGTCTTATGTCGCTGAATCGCGAAAGCACGTTCCGTGACGAAGAGGACCCAAAATGCCCGTCTAGCTTCCCTCGCAACAGACAGGTTGGTCGCCTCCTCGTAAGTGGCTTCTTCATGGTACCTAAGCGTCTGTAGTATAGTTATCGCTTCACGTAGGTAGAACCAAGCCGCATAGTCGTTGCGGGGGCTAGAGTGTGCACAATGCAGCATGAAAGAGGTTTGAACTTGTGCAAGGGACTGGTTGTCCGCGAGGTGACAGAACCGCCTTGATCGCAGCACTTCAGAGACCAAGAAGTCGGCCGAGGGCTCCGAGAGGTCGTAATGGCTGCGCTGACGAGACAACTCTGGCGAATCAGCGGCAGAGGCCGACGACGCGTCACGGTCCGGAGCGACGGTGGCGCAACAGGACACAATAACGCCATAGCATCCGGGGCATTGGGCGAAGTTCCGGATGTACTCTTCTATACGTTCTCGATCTATCATTGGTGTGATGGGATACTTATGCGTCAAGTAGGTGTCGAGAGATTGTCTGATTGTGTGAGTCAACAGTTGAGGCGATGGCTGGAACGTCTCGTCTGTCCCAGCCATGTCCCACTGCACCTTACATGTCGAGCATGTCGAGCACGAGCGAGCAGCGTGTCCATCCGTAGGCTGAACTCTTCCCGCTGAACTGCTGTAGTGCAGATCAGGATTTCGTCCCTTCTGCTGTCGAATATCAGGTCTCTGTCCATATCTCGGCCCTTTAGGTCCCGGTCTCTTTGGAACTGCGTTATATGAGCAAACCACCTTAGCTAAGAGACAGTTAATGCACTGGTGACGCCCGTCGCACCGAATTTTACGGATGTGGCAGGTATCACACGCCTGTCTGATCCTTTTCGTGGCCCGTTTCCTCGGCTTAGACACAGCTTTTAGTGGGGGCATCTCGTCCTATGAACGAGTGTCTCAACCAAAAGGTCTGCGTGATCGCATTTGAACGATGGCGCTAAGGGTTCACTTCCACTATTACGTGCTTTACTATGTTGATGGTGTGCTTAGACCTGGTTTGAAACATTCTATCCCTGTAGGTGGTTTTAGGCTTGCTATATTGGATTCCGGCAGAGGGTCGTTTCTGCAATACTCACTATATCATCTTCGTTTTCAATCCGACTTCTAAGGGTATCTCGTTAAGAAGGGACGGCGGGAACTAATACAAACTAAGGCGTAGAAAGGTGACGAAAAAGGGGGGCAAAGGGGGTGGGCGGGGTTAAAGGGGGGCGACTGAAGACGAAAGGCCTCGCCTATGTATGTGTGTCTCCATCCTAGACCGAGAATAGAGTTTGGGAGGGGGAAATAATAGACGTCCCCACTGCAGCAACGAGCTAGTGCGTAAGATAAGGGACAGGCTCTATTGAGGAAGCCAGTAATTATACACTATTCCTGACGCATTCGGCT